GCTTATGGCAGACGGTAATACTAGAAAACAAGATGTGTTACCTCATTGAGATTATTACAACTTCTTTCAGTTTAAAGTCTCCAGAATACGCCTTCCGAATCTGCAATAAAAAATGTAATTAAACATGTATGTTTCCTCAAGTGAATATGAACTGATATTATCTTGGTTTCCTTTATCTAATCTCCCTTGATTCAGCTAGGGTCTTCCGTTTAACCGTTTCAATTTTTCCAACTCCTCCAAAAGGCGACAAAATCGCCTAGAAATGATCTACAGCTATGAAAACAAACAAATGTATGTATATAGTCATTAAATCGCCTTTAAAATGGAATACGAAATGTACCATTTCAAAACGTACCATTTCAAAATGTACCATTTGCAAAATTTACCATTTGATACATTTTGCTGTTATTTATTACTCATTTATTTATTGTAAAATTTATTGTAAAACCTAGTTATTTGTTTATTTATTGTACAGACCGAGAGAATGGAAACGGTTAGACGGGATCGAGAGAGACGAGGAAAGAGGGAATCGTGGTACAGAAAGGGAAGGTTTGACACAGTGATCTTCGTGCCAGCAACTCCAGGCTCTCTGCTAAAAAACCGATACAGAGAGGAGAGAGGAGATTAAGGGAGTGGGTTTCAAGATCAAAGTAGTCGAGCAATCAGGTGCGACCCTCAAGCGGATGTTGCAAAGGTCAGACCCGTTCAGGGAAAATGAATACAACAACATGAACTGTCTGGTCTGCAGCACCGGGGGAGAAGGACCTTGCCGAAGTTTCGGTGTCGCTTATGAGCTGGTATGTCAACCCTGCCACAATTAATACATCGGGGAAACGTCACGAAGTGCAAACACCCGCGGGAAGGAACACCTGCGAGCTCTGGAACAGAGGGAGCAAAGTTCGGTGATATGGAGACATTCCTATGAGAAACATGACGGTAACGTACCAGGCTTCACAATGAACGTCCCGGGAGTGTTTCGGGGTGACGCTATGCTGAGCCAAGATCTCGGAATCAGTCCAAATAAGTAAAGTTGAACAAGATCAACTGATAAACACGAAAAGCGAGTGGTGTTATTTCCGGATCCCTGGGGCTGTTGTCACACAATCGTGAAATGAGGCTACAAACATTTTATCATATGACTATTGCACACTGAAACCGAATTCTAGTCTGTTGCTATTTTTGACCGTTATTGTTTTATTAGTTTTACTTTAGCGTTGTTGCTATGTTATTTTTTACTGTTATTGTTTTATCAGTTTTACTTTAGCGACATTGTTATGTAACTAGATACCAGGTTATTACTCGTGTAATGTTATATGAACTCATCTTAGGTTTGAATTTTTTAACGATACATCGCGTACAACTGAAGAGGTCTGTAGACGAAACTAGCTTTGTAGTAAGCGTATGTAAATGTGCGTGGAAAGTAAATGTTCATGAGTTTTTCCTTTTCAGTATAATGATGAGTAATACTGTCTTAGCTTCGGCAATCAGAATTTCGCGAAGATATTGTAAAATAATGTTATGATTAATCAAAGATTGATAGTTTTGAGCCTCGTGATATCTGTTGTCCACACTCACGTCAAAATGAAAATAAAGCAAGGCTATATTGCTTTCAGGGCGACAGATTATAATGATTTTTAAATATATATACCTCTTGCTTCATCCGAATTGCCAGTTCTTTAAATTTCTCACTACTTGTGTCAGTTAAACGATCATCCCATTCTTCGGAGACGCGTATTTCAATAGTAAAATCTACGGGTAAAATGTTTTTTACATGTAAGAGTATAATATAGTAGTGAGCGTGCAATTTACAAATCCAAAATAAATCACCTCTCTAAGAAGGCGCCGATAAAATATGGAACTTAAAATATGTTAAACACAGTAAAAGTAAATAACAAAAAATAGTTTTTGCCGATCTAACGATCTGCGTATCTTTACCTCATTAGATTATGAGTTGGCGTTTTCTATCGCGTTATAGCTGACGAGGGTGCAGCTCAGTCATCTATCGATCACGCATAGAAATTGAGATCGAATAATCTAAT